AGGGATTGCTGAAGAGTCAATGAGTCGAAGCAATCAGTTGGTTTTCCTTAGATAGAAAACTTTAAATCAGTCTGACTGGGTGATCTGGTGAACTGTGATGACATGATGTGAATTGGTGCTACAGAAATAAACTGAACAGAATTGAATGTATTGGGCTGAGGAAGTCTGAAGGTGTAGCTTAATTTATAATCTGTGTTTGGACCAGCGTTATGGTTTCCCCCACCTCTCCTGCAGCCTCAGACCTACCTGTGCTGTTTTTATGGCTTGTTCTGGATCAGTCTCATAATCCAGAGCGGTCAGGATCTGCTGCTTGTCCTCCAGCCAGCTGCTGGAGCTTTCCTTCAGGGCATCAAAGCTGCGGAGTTGGAGATCCAGAGCATGCTGCCTTTTAGCTTCCCTCACTGCTTGTTGAGCAGCTTCTAGCAGCTTCGCCCAGAGATCCTCAGAGTTTCGTATTCTTTGCAGGATGTCTTTCTTTCTCTGCTCATCAAGATCCGGAGAACAAACCCTCTGACATCTGCTGAGGTTCTTCAGCCTGGAATCACCTTCAGCCTTGGAACTCATGATGGTCTAAAACAGAGGGAGAGATGTCACCATCAAGACCAACAGGGGTTCTGAGTTCGAGCCCCACTCCCACAGACTACCACTCTGGGTCCCTGAGCAAGAACCTTAACCCCACAATGCTGCCTGGGCACCGCACAGTGGCAGCCCACTGCTCCCCAAGAAGATGGGTTAAATGCAGAGAGGGGATGTTGTTGCTCTTTACTGCGACAATATAATTACAATAAAATTGAATTCAATTCAATCTTCACAATGGAGGAAATGACCTACCACCTAAGGATCAAGAACAAATACCTGAAAGAACAGTGGAGGAAATGGTTTGATTACACAAATCGGAAAGGACTTACCCTCAATAAGACTTGAACGACAGATAAACCTTTTCTAAGACTTGTGTGACCCCCACATTCACTAAACTCGGACTCTGTTATACCTTTGCTGTATTTTTATCGCCCTTCTCTGTTCATATTCTTTTTTTTGTTTATTTGTTTATTTGTTTTAATGTAAAATTGAAAAAAATACTAAATAAAAAGTAAAAAAAAAAAACAAGAAAAACTATTGAATTCTATTCTATAAAAAAATTAATACTGAAGAATTAGCAGATGGGTTGAGAGGGGCGTGAAGGAAGCCATCTTTGTTAAAATAAAAAAAAAACGGGACTCAGGGTTCAGCTTTCAAAAACCTAAAATGCAGCAATAGAGTTAATTCGGGCATTGCAGTCTAACAAAGAATCCAAACGACCCCCATTTCAAGGGGGTGGACCTGTTCGTCCGTTTCAGTTTGCATGTTTTCTACGTAAAATCAAGGCTTTGTTGGGCTATTGTATAAAACCTGGAACTCAACGCTATTTCTGACATTTGGAATTGAAAACTCTTCCTGGATGGGAAGATAAAGGTCTTCAAACTTGGAAACAAAGTCCACTGGATTGTTTTTTAACTTTTTTGGATTGAAGCATTAGCTTCTGTTCTTCAGTGGTTTTCAGGTGAAGGAATCAGTTTCTCTGCATTTGGCTCCAGCAGCTGCGGTGCCTCTGCTCTGGCCTCCTGTCCTTAAAGTGGTTTTCTTCCAAAATTCTTCTCTAACCACCAAAGGAGATGAAACGTTGTTGTAGTTTATATAATACGGTTTCTCTTGAAGAGGACAAATGCTCTGAGAAGGCTGAGACACCGCTGTGCTCCCACAGAGGGATGAAGAGGATGCTGAGGGTCGTAACCTCCATGTTACATACATTGGATCTAAATATGGACATAGCGATTATAAAGCAGATGTTTTCACATCAGCTGTTCATGTGCTTTTAAAAACAAAGTTCTTTATTAACAAGCAGAATTCCAATATTTCTACTAGTGTTTGATAAAAATGCCCACAGACACTGGGAAATGGGAAAATGTTTCCAATTCAGCCACCAAGAACCTAATCCTCCTTAAAGTCCAGCTGCTTCAGCTCACCTGGGCGGCAAGAAGTCTGTCCTCAGCGTCGCTTTTCCCTCTCAGGATGTCCAGCTGCTGATGCAGACATTCCAGCCAGCAGTCAGTGTCCTGTTGCTGGGTTTCCAATTCTCTCAACTGGAAAACCAAAAAGATTTTTTCATCAAAGATGTCAAATATTGTTCAACATCATTTTATAGAAATCAAGGTGGATTTAATGTTAAACTGAAACTTTAATGAGTAGGAAGGCATCAGAGCAAAGCAGCATTCAGACTAAATTTTTGACAGATTTTTAACTGAGCCAGAGTTTGGTTTGTGGACGGGATCCTGTCCATGTGAAGCCATCGAGAAATCAGAGGAGGACCCTAGAACCTAACCCAGACACGATGGCGCCTCCTGCTTTATCTGGACATCAGAGAGGTTCGCCTGCAGTCTGAATCTTTGTTTTTCCAGGAAGAAGTAGAAGGTTTAAGCCTAAACTACAGATAAACACCAAACAAGTTGCAGAAACTTTCTTCTTGATGCTTTTTTCTATTTTCTCCATGAAAGCAGCATCGGATATAAAGCCTTAAAGTAACTTTTACATTATCAGGAGCTAGTGCTGTAACTACTTACTTTATAAAAGTCAGTAACAACTTACTAATTGCTGCGCTTTAAACGGATTAGCTCTTAGTTACTCAATGTGTATAGATAAGGACTAAAGCGGCATGCAGGTAACAGTGCTGTGCACCTTCAGCATGAGCAGAGAGGAGGGGTCATGGAGCAGAGCTGCTGAATGTTTCTGGGATTTTCTCTTCATGTTAAGGAACAAAGACTTTATCAGCGT